GGAACAATTGTATGTGATTTTGGAGTTTGATAATGAAAGAGGGAACTTATGAAAAAGATTAGGTTCAGAATAGGATGAAATTATAAAATAAGAAGAAAGAGATATCAGATGATCAGATGAAGAATTAATATCATATAAAGGAGAACCTGCTGTGGGTCTTATTTTGACGCAAGAAGAAAATAATCAGATAATATCAGATTTATTCGATTACTACTATGAAAATAGAAGCTGGGCTGTAGTTGATTATAATATTAGAAATTTAAAGAAAGATCAGAACAAGCAGATATTAAAACTGCTTGACGAAAATTTTGATTTTTGCACCCAAAGTATCTCAGAATTAGGACAGACAGATATAATTCATCACTATATCCCAATGCAAGATATCTGGCTAGTGTGACAGCGTTTGTATCGATATTTCTACGCAAAAAAGAAATTTCTAAAGGAAGAAATTGATGTTATACTGGATGAGCAAATTATTTGACCATCTACGAGTCCGTGGGCATCTCCAGTTGTGTTAGTAAATCAAAAAGCCCGAAAAATATGGTTTTGTGTTGATTATAGAAAATTAAATGCTGTAAACGTTAGAGATAATTATTCATTACCCCAAATTGATAAACTCTTAGATGCATTAAATAGGTTATCTTGGTTTACGTCATTAGACTTAGCCAGTAGGTATTGGCAGGTCAAAATGTTTGAAGATGATAAAGAGAAGACTGTATTTATCTTGCCATACGGACTTTATGAATTCAATATTATGCTATTTGAACTTATGAATGCCCTAACTATGTTTCAGAGGTTAATAGATCAAATCTTTAGCGACATAAATAGAAGATTTGTTGTTGTCTACCTTGATGATCTTAACATCTTTTTCAGATCATTTGATGAACACTTGGACTACTTGAGAAAAGTGTTCCTATGTTTAAGACAAGCGAGTTTAAAAATTAAGCCCCAAAAATGTTATTTGCTCGTAAAGAATTAAAGTTTTTAGGGTATATCGTAAGTGCGCAAGGAATATTGACCAATCTAGAGAAAATTCGAGCTGTTCAAGTCTTTCCTATTCTCTGAAACTTGATTGTTGCGTAGATTTTTGGGATTGGTATCTTATTATTGACAATTTATCTCCGAATTTACAAGAATTGCTACTCGATTAAACTCATTACTATGAAAGAATGTTGGATATTATTGGACTTCAGAATATCAAGAAGCTTTTAAAGCATTGAAAGAAAAACTTATCATGGCTTCAGTTTTAGCTTATTTGAATTTTTTAAAACCTTTTATTCTTTTCGCAGATGCGTTAAATTTAGCCTTAGGTACTATTCTTTCTCAGTTGGATAAGGATAAAAAGAGAGGGTTGTTGCTTACACAAGTCGATCTTTAACTTCCACCAAAAAAAATTACTCAATAACAGAGAAAGAGTGTCTTGCTGTTGTTTGGGCTGTTTTATACTTTAGCCCTATCTTCACGAAATTCCTTTTACTCTTTATACTGACCATTCTGCATTAAAATCACTATTTTCTCATCGATTATCTCAGAACTGACTGGCCAGATGGATCCTAACCTTGCAGAAATATAGATTTACTACTATTCATAGGCCCAGAAAAATACATCTTAACATAGATAGTCTTTCATGAATTTAGGACAATCGATTTTTGAAAATTATTTCTTACTTCTATTTGAATTTTACAATATCGATTTCGGATTATCTATAACTTGATTAAACAGAAAAATTTTATGGATTTAGATACATATTATTTATTTTTAAGGTACTTTAGCAAGTCTATGATACCTTCTAATTATGCGAACGCACAAATTAGAACTTTGAAGCATAGTACACGTCATTATCTTGCTTGAGAAGGATTGTTATAAAGAAGAACCCCAAAACCCTCTTAGATTATTATGAATATTGAAGCCACAAGAAGTCGAACCCATCTTGTATGCGATGCATTCAGATCTATTAGCTGGGTATTTCAATAAGGAAGTAATGTATCAGCAAATTCTTACCTAATATTTTTGGCCACAGATGAGAAATGATATTTGAGATTACGTTAAGTCATACGACTTATATCAAAGAAGAGGAAAGCCCAGCACTAGAGAGTCTCTTTATCCTATTTGAGTCAGACAACTTTTTAATCGAATAGATATTGATATCATCGGGCCGCTCCCAATTACTACGAAAGGGTATCGATACATAGTTGTAGCAACAAAGTATTTGACTTAATAGCCAGAAACACGTGCGATTGAATGAGCTAACACTGGAACAGTAGCCACTTTTCTCTTTGAGGATATTATTTGTCATCAAGGGAGTCCACGTGAACTACTCTCAGATCAGAAGACCCATTTTTGTAATAAAATCGTGAATGCACTTTGTTGTAGAATAAATGTTCGTTGCTCTAAATCAACAGCTTATTATTCTCAAATGAACAGGCTAGTTGAGCATTTTAACCAAACATTATGTGAAGTTTTAGCAAAGTGTATTGAACAATATAAGGGCGATTGGAATTATATACCTGCAGCACTATTTTCTATCAGACGAATAGATATTCTGTTACTTGTTATGAGCCCTTTTTCCTTATATATAGTTGAGATGCTTTGTTACCTGTAGAGACTGTAATTCTGACTTATCTAATTGAACCGATCACTGAGGAGGAATTACAGAATCAATTGTTATAGCAAATAGAAAGCTTGATAGGACAACTGGTTGAATCGTGTTATCAGGCTAAAACTAATATTAAAAAAGCTCAAGATAAACAAAAAGCATGCCATGATCACAGTCATCAAATAGAGAGTTATTTGATTGGCAATAAGGTGTTATTGGAACGGTCCTTTTTGTTAACATCATATAGTGCAAAATTTGAATCTAAATTTACTTGTCTTTATTATATTCACGATGTTTGTGGCCATGGTTCATATAAAATAAGAATGATAAGCAAAATAACAAATGTTAAGCCTAATAAAAGAGAGAAGGTTTTTAAGAAGGCCGTGTATAGAAAC